CATTGCCTCTGGACCGGGTTCCACTTGCTCTGAACTTCTTCCATTGCCTTTGCACCAGATATATTGTTTACTCCGACTTGTTTCCATCGTACTCCTAGCCGGTCTACGGGGATGTATCCCCAAAAACCTCGAGTTAAATGGAATCTTCGGTTTTCCTCTTGCTGGTTTGTTCCATGGAGCTTTTTGAATAAAGCATGAGAGTGCATAGGTCCTCCACTAATGTTAAGTACGAAATTATTAACCCAGAGCCAACGGAGGTAGTTATCCCATGATCTGTGGAAGCTGTTGCTTTCTATCTTGTGGAGGCAACCTTCCTTTGCTTTCGGCCCTGTGGAAGCACCACAATCCAATGGAAACTGTTTCCTTCGGTTCTGTGCATAGCTTCATTGCTGTTGAGCGGCTCCGTGGCCAATGAGCTCTGGCACCACTTTTGTATTTGAGCCTCCTTCTCGTTCAGGTGCTTTTGGACCCATGTCCAACAATGCTCTCCTCAAAAGGGCTGGGCGATTGCTTCCATTGAGCCTATGTTCTTTTGCCTTGAGCCGTTCACTTGAATCAATTGTGGTCACTTCTGTCGACAAGGGATCCTCCTCAGCCTTCACTTCTTGGACTTCATCTCCATCCCAAAACATCAACATTTGATGGAGTGTCGAAGGCACACACTCGCATGCATGAATCCAATTCCGTCCCAATAAAGCCGAATAGAATGGCCTACCATCAATCACCATGAAATTTGATGATATTTCCTCTGTCCCCACCTGCACATTCAAAGTGATCATACCTGCCGGTTTGTAAGAATTTCCCACGAAATCGGTAAGCCGCACAAATGTAGCATTCAAATCATCACTAGTCTTTCCGAACTTCCGTAGGGTCTCAATTGGCAACACATTCACAGAAGCTCCACTGTCCACCAGAACTAGGTCAAGAGGATAGCCATTCATCGAGACCCGAATGTGCAAAGGCTTGACATGTTGGTTTTGGCCAGGCCCCAGCCTCTTATATTCTATCATCGTTGCCACATCATTCCATTCGAAGATAGGCTCTTCGTCAACGAAAACTTCCTCTAACTATTGAACTTCTTCCGGAGGCTCCTCTACTTGTTTCTTTTTAGGAAAGGACTCCATAGACTGGTTCTTTAGCGGCTCCAAAACCTGCTTTCTTTCTGAAAGCGGCTCCACAACCTGCTTCCTCTCTGAAAATGGCTCCAGAACTTGCTTCCTTAGTGGTTCCACAGCCTGCTTTATTTTTTGAAGCGGCTCCACAGCCTGCTTGTTCTCTGAAAGTGACTCCACAGCGTGCTTCCTTTTTTAAAGCGGCTCCACAGCTTGTTTTCTCTCTAAAAGCGGCTTCACAACTTGCTTCCTTGGCAGCTCCATGACTTTCTTTCTTTTTGGAAGCGGCTCCACAGCCTTCTTTTTCTCTGAAACCAGCTCCACAGCCTGCTTTCTCTCTTAAAGCGGCTCCACAGCCTGTTTCCTTGGCAGCTCCATGGCCTGCTTCCTTGGCGTCTCCATGGCCTGCTTTCTTTCTGGAAGCGGCTTTACAGCCTGCTTCGTTGGTGACTCCATGGCCTGCTTCCTTTCTTGGAGCGGCTCTACAACTTGCTTCTTTTTTTAAGGCTGCTCCATGGCCTCCTTCTGTTTTAGAGGCGGTTCCATTGCTTGCTTCCTCGGTGGCTCCATGGCACTAGGCTTCTTTTCAAACCTCTTTTTTGAAAATGCCCTCTTTATGCAATCTGCGATGATATCAACGTCCATTAGAGGCTTGGCCTCTCGTTGATTTTGTGTCAGCGGCTGCACTCCGGCTGCCTGCTGATGGAGGGTTGGTAGCTGCATCTCTGCGGCCTGCCCTCCTTGCCCTTGTGTTTCGATGATCCCCTTCCATTGGAGATTAGCCACGTCTGGACCATGACATCCCCATGGCAGTGTTGGTGTATTCCACAGAGGTTGTGCGCTTAATCGCCCTGGCGGGGTCATGCCAAATGTTGAAAATTTGCTTGCCCCTCGTGGAGGCTCAGCATTGCTCTTCAAAACTCCAACGGCCACGGTGTTCCAGCCCTCCGCAGCCTGTTGGCTCTAGCGCTCCGTAGACTGTCGCCAGCCTTCCGCAAACTGGTGGTTCTAGCCTTCCGCAGGCTGGTGGTTCCAGCCCTCCGCAAGCTGTTGCCAGCCTTCCACGGGCTGTTGCTTCCAGCTTCCTGCAGGTTGTTGCTTCCAACCATCCGCAGGCTGTTGGAACCAACCTTCTGCAGACTGGTGGTTCCAATCCTATTGGTTCCAACCTGATCTTGCCTGCCCCGGCCCTAAGGCCTGAAGCTTTGGATGTTCTAAAACAATTCCGTAGCTTTTTTCAGGCGGTACATATGAACCCCATGTCAACCTCGACATCACTCTTCGAAAAAATCCGACTTTGGTCCCACCAAGCGTGCCAATTGTTGGATCCTGCGATTTGGAATTCCAAAATAGCTCGTCGATTTCGTCGGCGTGGGTTCCGGAAGTACTCCAAAGAGCCAATCCGTCGTCAGGCAATGCGAATTTCACACGATCACTGAACTAAACTACGATTAACTACGGAAAGCGAGTAAATAAATTGCAGAAAGCATATAATCGGAATTAAATTGCATAAATGAAAATAAAACAAGAAAAATATGAAAATATGCGATTTGTTCTGTTGTGCGTGTGTTTGTTGTGTTTCTTTTTCCTAATTGTAGTCCTAGGCTAGAATAACCACTTCTTCCACTAACAGGGGTGGTTACAAATTATTCCCACTTCTTTCTACTTCTCTTAACCATCAAATAACCTTCTTCCATCAGTTCCCAGCGGCTTCCATTGCTCCTGGACCGGGTTCCATTCGTCTTGAGCATCTCCCATTGTTCCTGGACCAAGTTCCATTCGCTTTGGATCTCTTCCATTGCCTTCAGATCATACCTGCAGCCTAACCTGATTCGTTTCCATCATACTCCCAGCCGGTCTACGGGAATATGTTCCCGACAGCCTTGAGTTACATGGAACCCTCACTCTTCATGGTCTTCCATTAGTGTCATGAGGTTGCCGATTCAGAGTTGATGGAGCTTGTCGTCCGAAGGTCTATGGAAGTCATATCTTCTTGCTCCATGGAAGCTACGCAGCCTGATGGAAGTCACTATCTTCGACATTTAAGTCATTTTGGACTTGGGGTCCAACAATTGCCCTCCTCAAAAAGAGATGAAATGTAAGCTACGTGAAGCTTTGCTCTCTTTTTGGGACTTCTTTCGTGTGGGACTTACCCTCTTGGGCCTTGGCACAAAATTATCCCAACTTGATATCTCACGTCAACCCCTCTAACCTTGATGTGACGGCTGTTTCCTTCGATTCCCGCATCGTCTAAGAGAGAAAAGACATTCAAGGGTTTTTTCCTAAGGGTTTATCATCACTCCCCTTTTCCACTTCTTCTCTCGTTTCTCCTTTGAAGGCTTTTCTCCTGTTTGGTGAACGCAAGTATCAAGTTGTATGGCTTCTTCGACGGTTCTTCTTTCCAGTAGTGTAGCTGAACCTTCGTTGTAGACTATTGCCGACGTCCAAGTGTCTATTGCTCACGTTGTGAGAGAAGTGGCAGCAGACCATAATGCTTCCGAATTGCCTTCGACTTCAGCAGTCCCCGTCTCCGAGGAAGTAGCATCGATTCCAGAGGGCTCGGCTTTAGCCAGTGTAGCTTCGAGCTCTGGTGGAACAGCCTTGTCTTCGGAGGGCCTTACTTTTGTAGGTGTGGTTCCAATCGTTGCTGGAGTAGCCCTGGCCCCAAAGATTTCAACTTCAGTGGAAGCAGCGCCAGTTCCTGATGGAATAGCTCCAGCTCTGGAAAACCCGATTCCGCCCTCGATAGATCCGATCCCCATGGAAACAGTTCCCGGGCCTGATGGACTGGTTCCAGATCCGGAAAATCTGATTTCAACTCCAAAGGATCCAGTCCCTACGGAAGCAGCGCCAGTCCTTGATGGAACGGCTCCGTCTAAGGAAAGTCTGATTCTAACTACAATGGATCCAGTTACCGTGGAAGCAGCGCCAGGTCCCGATGGAACAGCTCCGTCTCTGGAAGACCCGACCTCAGTCCTAACAGATCCAGCTTCCGTGGATGCAACACCTGATCCTGATAACTCCGAGCCCGATGTGGACCCAGCAGCAAAGGATAATCCTTATACCGTGCGTTAACCTTGGGAACCATTCGCCTTTCTTTGATTCACCTTCCGTTTCGTTTGGATTTTATGGTTTTCTGCTCGTTTGGCTATTTACGATGACTTATTTTTGTTTTGTTTCCATTCGCACATTAGCGGCTTAATGGCCTGCTTTCATTTTGCGTACTAGCGGCTTAATTGCCTGCTTTTATTTTGCATACCAGCGGCTTAATGGCCTACCTTCGTTTTGCACGTTAGCAGCTTAATAGCCTACTTTTGTTTTGCTTCATATCTAGCGGCCTAAACAGGGCCTGCTTTCATTTCGCTCATTACATCTAGCGGCCTAAACAAGGCCTGCTTTCAGTTTGCACATTGCATTTCTTTATCTGAACTTGAGCGGTGACATATATCCTTTAAGGTGCTTAATGTTGATAACATTTCTATGTTCTATCCCATCAATACTCATCAATCTATAAGCGCCGTTTGGCAGCACTCTACTTACTTGGTACGGACCTTCCCACGTAGGAGACCACTTCCCGAATGTATTATCTTTGAATCCTTCGGGTAGCACTGCCTTCCATACAAAATCTCCTTCTTGGAATGTTCGCCGACGTACCTTTTTGTTGTAAGCTCGCGCTACTTTCACTTTATTTGCCCTGATATTCTCCAAAGCCATCATCCGATCCTCGTGCATGTCATCCAATCTTTGTAACATCGCTGTGTCGTACTTCTCGGGACTAAGCGAATTTTGCTTTAACACTCGTAACGATGGCACCGTGATTTCCAACGACAATATCGCTTCTTGTCCATAAACCAGTTGGAATGGAGTGCAACCAGTGGCTTTATTTCGTTATTTCCTGCAAGCCCATAAGGCCTCCCCTAACACTTCGTGCCATCTTCTCGGGTTATCTTCTACGGCTTTTTTGATTACCCCAATTAAGACTTTGTTGGCTGCTTCGGCCTGCCCATTTGCCTGCGCATAATACAGGGACGAATGCAAAAGAGCGATCCCATACTGTGCGTCGAAGGCGGCCACTCTATCACTAGTAAAAACAGTACATTGATCGGCGGTGATCGTCTACGGGATTCCATATCGGTGAATAATGTGCTCTTTAACGAACTTGATCACCTCCTGATATGTCACATTAGCCAACGGCACAGCTTCTATCCAATTTGTGAAATAATCCGTGGCCAACAATATGAACGACTGGCGTCTGGAAGATGGCGGGTGGATCTTCCCGATGATATCCACCGCCCATCCCCGGAATGGCCATGGTTTCAGCACTGCGTGCATTTCTTCCGCCGGAATTCGGATCGAAGGACCATGTCGCTGACATGCTTCACATCTTTGAGCGTACTTAATACAATCCTCCGTCATTGATGGCCAGAAATACCCATATCGTCGGATCGTCCATCTCATGACTGCTCGGATTTGTGTGCTCCACAAATTCCTTCATGCACCTCACCCATCACCTCCATGGCTTCTTGATTATCTACGCATCTCATTAACATTCCATCGGCGGCTCTGCGGAAAAGATCTCTGTCAATCAGAGTATACTTCAGAGCCTCTTTCCGCAGCTTACCGGAGTTTCATCGGTTGGTTGTTCCAAATATTTCCTCAGTTCCATACGCCAGTCTTCCGCATCCACTGGGTACAGCTGTACTCGACCTGATTTGAAGTTTCCTGCGGCTGATGACTTGTACCCAGATGCTTCTTGAGCCAAATCATTAGCTATTCTGTTTTCGGCTCGAGGTATTAATTCCACCACTACGCCGTCGAAAGTTTGCAACATCCTAAATGCTTCCATTCGAAGATTTCTCATCCTCTCATCTTTGCATTGGAACTCTCCAGTAATCTGCTTCAAGATTAGCTGTGAGTCGCCTTGAACTCTGATCGCCTTAGCCCCCTTTTTATGTAGGATTCTCAATCCAACTAATAAGGCTTCGTATTCCGCTTGATTGTTAGTGAATCCGGGTGTTAATGACCTGGCAACAGTCCATTTTTGTCCCCAGGGACTCTCAATGAATACCCCAGCCACAGCCTTAGTCTGCGTACTGGACCCGTCGAACTTCAAGATCCAAGGCATCGGACTAATAACAGCTTCCATGCGATTAGCTGATTGGTCAGCCACCGGACTCGGATGATCTGCTAGAAAGTTAGCAACAACCTGTCCCTTAACAGCTTTGATCGGTACATATCGTAGATCGAACGTGGCTAGCTTTACGGCCCATTTTGCTTGTCTTCCCCTTAAAGCTGGCCTGCCTAACATATATCTCAAAATATCAACGTGACATACCACTTCTGTCTCTCTCGGGGCTAAATAATATTCAAGTTTCGTACAAGCGTAAAATAATGCGAGAAATAATTTTTCCATAGGAGTGTACCTTGTCTCCACATCATTCATTACCTTACTGAGGTAAAAAATGGCGCGTTCGCTTCTATCGGGAGCTTCCTGCGCCAGTAAGCAACCAACTGTACTCTCAGTGGCGGAAACATACAAGCGCAGAGGTTTGTCTGCTTGCGGCGGCATCAACACTGGTGGATTGGCCATAGCTCCTTTAATGGCTTTGAAAGCCTGCCGGTGTAGCGGCTCCCACATGAACTGTTTTGTTTTCCGCAACTTGAGCAGTGTAGAAAATGCTTTAAGCTTGCCTGCAGTGTTCGAGACAAATCTCCGTAGAAAATTGACCTGCCCAAGGAATCCATGAAGTTGTTTCAGATTCTCAGGCGATCGGGCGTTGATGATAGCTTTCGTTTTGTTACTATCCACCTCAATGCCCTTATTATGCACCATGAAACCCAAAAAGTTTCCGGAGGCCACTCCGAACGCACACTTCGCTGGATTCATCTTCAAGTTATAGTGCCTCATTTATCGGAAGGCTTGCTCGAGATCCACCATACGCTCCGGAAAACTCTTCGATTTCATTTAGACACATATATAGGATAATCCAGGATATATTTTGCTAGGATTAGAATTTAGACACATATATGGGATAATTTTTTACAATTTTAACATTTAGCATAAGTTTTTTATAATTCAATTTATAAATGTTAGAAAAAATCATTCAATTGTTCAATTGGTTAAAACATAACGAATATTTATTATGATTCTATATATAGTTTTATATCTTAGTAATTTTTTTCTTAGTTCAACATATACTAAAGGTAAAATTGCTCGTAGCTCCTTTGGAGTTTCAAAATTCAGTGTAAAATTTTTGTATACTTTAAAAATTGCATGGCATCTTCTTATACTTTCAAAAACGTTGTATGAAATTCCATCGCCATGAAACTTCCCTTGTGAGAAAATAGTTTTCTATCTATATTTTTCATGCAACAATTTTAAAATATAAAGGGGCACTATGCAATTTTTAAAGTAATGTGGAGGTTTACATTGAATTTTGAAACTACATAGGGATTTTATGCAATATTTTTTAAAGTATAAGGGGGCACCATGCAATTTTTAAAGTAAATGGGAGATTTACTCTGAGTTTCAAACACAATGAAGTTATGGGCAATTTTGCCTATACTAAATAAACTCTTTCATATAATCCATAACAAAATTTAAATTATTCACTCTTTTTCTTTTTCAATATGTGTATGAATGGTGCCATACAACTTAATTTTTGGATGTCCTACAAATATGTACATCAATGAATGAAAAGTAATTCACTTCCCTTAATCTTGTATCTCTCTCTCAATTTCTCTCTCTGTCTCCAAAACCCTCGATCAGTAGGATTTTGAAACATCGCAATATTATAATTTTGTTATGTTTATAATTACATCAAAAGTGTGGCTACTCAAGAAAAATATATTGAATGTGATATGATGGAAAAATTATTTTTCTACTTTTCATGCTTCTCTAACATGTTTTTGCCGCAATAATACAAATAAAGAGGCTTCAAAAATTATTTTGAACTAATCACTTGTCTTTTGCTGACATAATAGAATAATGAATTGTTGTTAAAAAAATCATGAATTTCGGTTGCTAGTCGCAAATTAATTCCCAGAGGTGAAGGATACATAATCAGAAAATTTGGCGTGTGATCGTGGGCATAGACGAAAGAATTATAGATGGTTCCTTACAATAATTTCTTCATTTCCATCTTCTCATTCGTCTTTGGACTCATCACCTTCCTTTAGACGTGATACAAATGTTGGAATATATGGGTATTGCGAGAATAAACGTGAAACCGAGTCGAGGATGGATCCTCTTTCCGAAAATTAGATAAGCCCCGGTAGTGCCTCCGGTGGGTGGCGTTCTAATCAAAGATAAAACGGTTTCTGTCTCCATTGAGAGTGGAACCTCTAATCGTTGGAGCTCAGGCGAACAAAACGAGAGAGGAACTGAGCTGGAAAGGCTTCCGGAAAGTTAGAAGAGATAAGAGAAGGACGAGAGGATTGTTTGTGTTAAATGTTAGAATGAAGGGGGAGGCCCTTTATATAGGCGTCTCCACTCGGCCAAAATGGCAGGGGATCAATTACAGTCATAATTACGACCTTAATTATCAATGTAATTAATTATAAATTCAAATCTTCCATTTCAAGCAGTTGTAATTGATTCTAATTACAAACCTTCCGTTTGTGACAATCGTAATTTATTCTAATTTCAAACCTTCCGTTTGAAATGATTGTAATTTATTCTAATTTAAAACCTTCCATTTGAGATTATAATAAATCTATCCAATGGATAATATTCCAAATAATATTGCGACTTAGGCCATATACCCGGGTTTAATTTGGGGTTGCACAATTTGATTTGTCTCGAAACAGGCAAAATAATCAAAATATTAACCAAACCCCATACACAATAAATAAATAAGTATTTATTTATTTCTTCCAAATTAATTTGGTACACCGACCCGTCGCATTTTCACTGACAAAATAATCGACTGCAAAATAACTGATTATCCAACAATCCTCCACATTAGTGGAAATGCCCATAAAGGACATAAACCCAGCTTAATCCCTGTGAGACATTGACACATCAGGACATGTAGTTTTTGGCTTTGAACCTTCCATAGTCAACATTACAGAGTGTATTGGTGGCCGAGTTGGCGTGATGCATTGAACTCTTCCACCTCTGCGTGCACTTAGTCAATAATATTGACGTGTCGCTATCTCAGTCTCAACTTTGTTCTGACATTTTGATCCATTTCGGCCATGGATCTCATCTTTGGATTCATAAGTGTTTCATTTGAAGCGGCCCACATTTCACACTTATATAGGTAATCCTATATCAAGGTATCTAACTCACACCTTTAGGATCATCAAGAGTCATTGACTCAACCTTTCCACTTTTTCACATTATAACACTCATTGCTTTTCAGGGAATTGTATTGAGTGTTCGTGCCGGACTCTTACAGTTTAGTTTTCCCATTGAACCAAGGCTTGGGATTTCCAAATGATTTGGTTGGGTTACCATTGTAATTGTCTCTATCTTGTGGATTTCAAACCCATTTCCTTTAGCAGTTTGTACATTTGATCTCTCTGCAACCCTTTGGTTAGCGGATCCGCTAGGTTTTCCATTGATTTTACATATTCAATAGTCAAAACCCCACTGGTGATCAAATGTCTTACAGTGTTTTGTCTATGTCGGATATGTCGGAATTTACCGTTATAAATTCCATTCTTAGCCCTTGCTATTGCAGCTTGGCTATCGTAGTGAATCATTACGGGAGGTACTGGTTTAGTCTAGTATGGAATATCATCCATGAAGTTTCTCAGCCATTCGGCTTCTTCGCCAGCTTTGTCCAAGGCGATGAAATCCGATTCCATTGTGGACCGTGCAATGCACGTCTATTTTGTTGATTTCCACGAGACAGCTCCTTCTCCAATTGTAAAATACAAATCCACTTGTAGACAGTTAGTCTTTTGCATCGGATATCAAATTGGCATCGTAGTATCCTTCGAGTTTTTTTGTAGCCTTTTACTACGAGACGGCCTTTGTATTTGTCAGTAGACCTATTAGCCTTGAGTTTCTTTTTCAAAACTCATTTACACCCTAGTGGTTTGCAGCCTTCGGGTAGGTCAGATGACACCCAAGTGTTATTATGCATTATTGAGTCTTTTTCACTATCTATTGTTTCCTTCCAAAAAGGAGCATCAGGACTAGATAGTGGCTCCTTGATCATTGCTGGATCATTGTTTAACATATACGTAACAAAATCCGGACCAAAGGTTTTCTCGACCATTGTCCTTTTGCTACGCCTAGGCTCTGAAGACTCTTGATTAGGGCTATTGGCCATTTGTCTTTTTACGCCCCGTAGTTCTTCATCTACGGATTTTGGGTTTGACTGCATCCATTCCTTACAAGGGTAGATATTTTCAAAGAATGTGGCATTCCTTGATTCTATCGTAGTTCCCTCGGTCATCCCAGGATTTCTGATTTGTGACCTATGAAACGATACGCACTACTGTTTAGTGCATATCTAATAAATATGCAATCTACCATTTTTTGGCAGATTTTTGCTAGGCACCCCCACACTTTGAAGTATTTGTGTGTGGGTTTCTTGACTTTCCATAGTTCATAAGGGGTGGCATCCTTACCCTTAAATGGAATCTTGTTCATGATATAATTTGTAGTCAGTACCACCTCCCTCCACAGGTTTTGGGGAAGTCCTGAACTTATCAGCAAGGCATTCATCATTTCCTTAAGTGTTTGATTTTTGCGTTCTGCAACGCCATTCGATTGAGGTGAATATAAGGCCGTTGTCTGATGAATTATGCCACTTTCGTTACATAATTCTTCAAACGGGGCCACATATTCGCCACCTCTATCACTTCGAACTGTCTTGATTTTACAGTCAAGTTGATTTTCTGCCTCGGTTTTGAAGTTCTTGAAGGCTTCGATTGCTTCGTTCTTTTCCCTTAATAGGTAAAGATAGCAATATTTTGTGCAGTCATCGATAAAGGTGATGAAATATTTCTTTCCACCTCTAGTTCGCACAAATTTTAAATCACATACATCGGTGTGAATTAACTCTAATGGCTTAATCTTCCTTTCGACAGACAGGAAGGGTAATTTTGCCATTTTGGCCTCCACGCAAACTTCACATTTGTTTTGAGTGTTCACCTCTTTTATATTTAGTAAATTCATATTTACTAATCTTTTTATAGCATTTAGGTTTACATGACCTAGTCTATAATGCTATAAATCAGAACACTCAATCAAGTACGAAGAAAAAACAATATTTTTATTATCAGTAGGTGGTGCTCGGCGGACGGCCATTACATTTAATTTGAACAGCCCATTTCTAAGATAACCCCTAGCTAGGAACATATCACTTTTCGATAATATAAATTTATCTGCTACAAAGACAAGTTTAAACCATGCCTAACTAGTAGCGATCCTGAGACGAGATTTTTCCGAATCTCTGGCACATGCAGGACATCTTTCAGGGTTAGTTCTTTGCCAGAGGTCATCTTCAGCACCACGTTCGCTACCCCTTGAACCTCAGAAGTTGCATAATTTCCCATGTGCAGCTTCCTCCCTTCGGTCTCCTTATAGGTCGAGAAGTTTGTTTTGTCAGAGCAAACATAACAGGTTGCTCCGGTGTCTATGTACCAAGCTCTCGGACTTTCCAAAATTATATACTTATTACGCAAAATGATCTAATAAGCGATGTCATAATTATATGCAAGCCTCATTCAAAATATAGTAAAAACAAGTAAGGCATCAAACCAGGTTCAACACATAAACATGGGCTGTGGATGCTCATGAAACGTCAAAAGTATAGGGGAGGAACTCATGTGTGGCACTGCAACGAATAAGTAGGTTATATAAGTATTTAATTTCAAAATCAATAAATTACTAGAAAAAATAAACCTTCAAATATATATTATATACATCTTTGTATGTGGGATCAACATTGATTACCTCACCGAGGGTACGTGCTCAACTAATTGTTGGCAGAATAATTGAGGTCTCCGGAACCATGGTAGCCCTTACAAAGACTTTAACTATTGCTAGCATATCACCTACATATATAGATAAAGAAAAAAAAACATATAATTATGAATGTAATATATCATTTCAAGAAACAATTTACAAATAAATAATAATAATAAGAGAAGCCATCCATAGTATTTCACACATAACAAAGATGGTCGCATATGTTTCACAAATACCGGCAAAGGAGAAGAATTTTTCTTGACCTAACAAGTACTACAGATCAATAATACGAAAGCATATACAACTACACGCTATACCAAAAAAATTTCATCAAATTTATATACATATCATCTACTAAATATGCATATAATTAACAATGTAATAAAACCGGAATAGAACATTGCATTGTCCAACGGCAATGATCAACCCTAAGCCATTTCAAGAATAAATTATCTAGTAATAATCCAAGACTCACCTAAGTTTCAATTCTTTAGAATAATAATATTGAAATCACGACATATTTATGGAATATGCACAATTTAAATGAACATGCATTCACGAACACGTGCAATATCAATGACACCCAAGATCCACCAACAATTGTTTAGGAAACACTATACAAAAACTAAAAGCACGGCATATAGGATGCACCGAATAACACTGGAGTACGTGTAACATCCAAACACAACCTACTTAACAAAAAAATTCTCAATGAAACAAATTACGAACACAAAAATAAAACAATCCTAGAAAGAAAGCATAAATCAAACACACGAAACAAATGGTAACAAAATAAATTTAAATGCAGTAGATAAATATGTGTCAAGCCCCACATTATACAAACAAGTACGCATTAAATATTATGCAAACACTTAAAAATTCATACCTATAGTGTATTACTTTACGATAACAAACCTGGAAGAGGGGCGGTCAACATGATCCCCTTAGCAACATTTTTTTCTAAGCCACAGGACATCAAAAGAACACGAGGCCTGACCTACATCAAGTGTTTGCAACTATCAAGAACATTCTTATAGGCTAACAAAGTATAAGCAAAGTATAATGCTAATTTGCTGAATTAAGATATTATGTTAAAACCCCATTATATATTTATTAACTAACCGTCAGTGGTTCGTGGACCTCGGTACCCAGTGTCTCTAACCCTCTTTGGGTGCGGCTAGTTCCCTACAATGCATGGAGCAATTATTTTGAGTTACTAGTGGATTGGCAGGAGACATTCCATATAATTTACATAGAGATATTGTTGCTTCCTTACCAGGGCTCATATTGATGCTCCACCGGGAGAGTTCATCCAAGTAGACAACTCTGCATGCATGTTTCTAACCTCAACCATGACAGCCCTCAACTCAACAAGGCACTTCTTACATTCCTCTGCAAACTTTTGTACATCTTAACTATCGGTAATGTCCATTGATTCACTGTGTGGGTGGGCAGAGCTAGCTTCACTATTAATACAGCTCAACTACTATAATTGTCAGATTGTCATGAACTTCAATTAACTCATTTAAAGACAATAAATGAGGAATGCATTGCTTATAGAAGTTATTAGTAAAAAGCAGACAATTAATCAAAATTTTGAAAATCATTCAACTAAAATTATTTTTAATCAAATCTTAAGGTTTTCCACCATTCTATCACATCTAGACATTCTAAAATTTTAACAAAAAGGTTGTGAAAATTAATCTAAGAAATGAATGTTATTTTAGCATAGAGCTGCACTTCATGATCACAATATATATATATATAAATAAATAAAGAGCTTAAAATTTTCAAAAACACAAAAGATTTGAATCCATCCATACATAAAATCTAACATCTTAGAAATTATCTTTTCAAATCCAAACACAAATTTAAACTTTAATTAATGCCCAAGACATGAAAGCTAACATCTCATAATTCAAAAACCACAATAATAACTTTGAAATAATTCACAAAAAATACAACATTGATTCCGTTATAGCCTTATTGGTATGAGAATAGCATCAACTTCAAGGATACTTATATATTTTGTTTATAGGGTCTTTTCTTTTTCGGTAAGAAATGATGAATAACCAATTGTGAGTTTGTAACCCTAGATAAATACTCACCTCATCACTCCATGCCTGAGATTTTAAGTTCTGAACAATCCGAGCACCAAATTTCCCTTTGTGTTGCGAAATTCCTAAGAGTTAAGATGATCACCCTAACAACGTAACCTAACCTGCAGGTCGACATTCAGATTATTCAGTTCCCAAGGAAAGATTAGTAATATGTATAGTCCACAGTCAACATACAGCGGATATCAAAAGTTTATCAAAATTGGGAGATTTTCCTAATTAAACTGAACCATGAAAGAAATAGTGGTAACACTATAAGTGTTGGGTAGGATAGATAGTAGAAGGATTTGCAGAAGAAAAAAACACGTGTTGCTCACTATGCTTTGATGATAAGTTCTTTTTTTTCCATCATCAAGTAAGGAGTACATCCATATGTAGGACTCTTGATCTACAAGTCGTTACTTCAGTATGTTATTATTATTCGTGGTTACTAGAACTTAAAGGGATTAGCATATTAATTACTTTGAAAATTACAAATTATTGTTTCAACAATAAGTTCACCGTAATAAACACTATATCTAATTTTTTTCCTTTGTGGAACCTTTAACCACTTCAATCAACAGCGACAAGCACCTACAAGTAGCCAAGTAATAATAGAACAATCTTACTACAGTAGAACAGTAACATGAAATATGTTGTGTTTTATATATATAATCTGTCAAACAACCAAGAAACATCAACTAGAATGTGTCCAACAAATTGAAATAAAAACAATATACTTTCTGAAAATCAATTTAAGAACACAATCAATCTATGCAAAAATCAGGATTCAAGATTAGAAAGGGCAGAATATGAACTTCCCTCTTTCGACAGTCTTCCGGCGAACACACCCAGTCACGCGCCACAGCTCCGGCAACTTCCTCTTCCGGCGATTTCCAAGCGACTTGACAAAGGATAGGGGAAACTATTCTTACGGCTCAGTCTACAGCCTCACATTTAGGGACTAACCCAACTGCCTCCAAACAAAACCCCAAACCAACGGACTCGATCGACCCTAAACTTTAATCGACCGATTTCCCCCAAAACCTCACAAAAACACCCAGATGAACAACTTACCGAAGGAATCGAACAAGAACAACGGCGATTTCGGCGAAGAAGAGAACCCCAAACTTACCGAGAAGAACTCGAAGAAGATGAACTAGAGGGAGAGAAAAAACAGACTCCAAATCGCGCAATACACTATATAATGAGAATGGGGGGTTTGGGGGAGTTATAAGGTGTGGGTCGGGTCGGGTCGGGTCGGGTTAAAGGGTTTTGGGTTGCGGGTTGGGCTTGGTATTGGGTTGGGCCAAAATATATCTAACAAAATATACATGACACAATCTTTAAAAAAAAGTAGCGTTGTCTATAGTCTTAATTTATTGGGCAATAAACAACAAATTAATGTAATAATAAAGTTATCCAATGTACATAAGAACAAAATGTGATTTAGCTTAATTAAAACTATCGGTTCTTTAGTATGGACCCCGTTATAGTACTCAAATATTCTATCATTTCACATAAAAGTACTAAAATGCCTATTTTGATTTTAGCATATTAATACATAAATTAAGTTGACCCTTAAGATCTAAGAGTATTTTACTCTTTTCATGCTTACAAACTATCTACTATATATAAAATACTATAATTCCGTAATCAACATTCAAATAGTAAATGTATCTATTGTTAGTAAATGGAGGGAGTATAATTTTACCTTCGATTCTATATTGTCGAGCATGTCGCCTTAAGCATCGACCAGCACAGCCATGTCCATGAAGATCTGTGTTCAACAATGAAAGAGGACAGAAAAGATAAGTGCAATTTTTCGGATTTCCTGATCACAAAGGACTAACTATATATGAGAGTCGAGATCATTCCTGGCTGTACACGAATCTGTGCACGAGCAATAGGCGTTTTAAATGATTTAACAAAGTTGTTGCGAATGTCATAAAATTTGAACTTCTTACAGAGAAACTAACAAAATGAAAATAAAAATATTCTAATCAGTCGATTGACAAACCTCTGTTTAATTTCAAATTTTAATTTCATCGATAGTCATGTATGCTTTACTTTGTACATCCTATTAATAAAAGATGACAGCACAAATCTAGCATGGTGAGCAAAGAAGTAAAAGAAAAATAGAAAAGATTAGGACATATGGCTACACCTGCCCTCGGCCTTGCTCTCGAATAGAATTATGTAAAATCTGCTCACTAGGACATATAGATAAGAATCTTAATTATCCATGTATAGAAATAATTATTAGCTAAAACTTAAAAGGGAGATTGATATTCACCTCCTCATCAGCTCGATTGCCCGCCATTGAATACAAAACAAGGAATATGTCAAATCATTAAGACCAAAAGTACAGGTTCTCTATGCAGCATAATGTTAATACCTGTGCCTCTCGACAACCTCAGGATACTCTTGCTGTATATTCTCTCTTAAGGTCTGGTCTACAAATAAAAAGGGAATTGAGAAATGTAGCCATTGTAGCAAAGCAAACAGCTAATATACCTGAAAATGATCAGACATGCATCCTGTCTTTGAACTTCTTCTTTAAAGCCCTGCATTCAAATACATAAATTATTTTATCAGATATATATGGGTACCAATGGTGCACAGATTGGATCATTAGGTTGATCAGATTATTTAAGAATATGAATCAAGTTGTTAGGACGAAAAAAATAAAATAAATCAACACGTACCTTTATACTCCCGGGAATATCCTCAACCTCTGCCACGCAAGGATTCGCTCAAGTCGGCATTCTTAGGCTGGTGGATGATCTTTTCAAATATATCTTTCATCATCGGGTGCTGGACCATCTCTTGAAGAATCTTGTCCTCAATCTCTGGCATCGGCTGCTTTGATATTTCCTCCTTGTTCAAAGAAGAGCAGAAGACTAATTCTGATAGCCGCTCTTTCTCAGCTTGCCGGCAATATTTGTCCGCCTCAAGCGTTCCAGCAGTCATTAGATGGTAGGTACGGACAAACTTCTTTTGTCCAATCCTATAAGCACTGCCAAAAAATTGTCCATTTGTAGCGAAATCTCATTCGCAACAATTTTTTGTTACAAAAATTATTTTTTGTTCCGGATATTTTCGTAACAAATAGTTTTTCTCAGTTTGGTCAACCTTTTTCTTTTTGTTGCGGTATATTTTTCGACACAACTACAATAATATTTTAATTTTAAATTTTCAACTAATTTTAGAATAATATTATACATATACATATATCATATATATAATATTTAAATATTAATATATACAAACTGAAATTAAAATAATTGTTCATTTATAATTAAAATTACTATATACAATTAAAAATTAAAATTAAAATAAAAGTTAAAACTATGACCTAGCAGCTCCCCATCCATTTCTTCATCTTCATCTGTTCGTTCTTCTTCTTAATTCTTTCCTGTTCTTTCTTTTTTCTTTTTTGTCTTCTTCTTTCCGTACTTCCTCATTCTCCTTTTTTTTAAGTTATCAGTGCCGTACCCTTGAACCGTGCGCCACCTCCGGCTTCCTCGGCAGTCGACCGTGCTACGCCGCCCGTTCCTTGACTCATCGACCGCGAGCCACCACTGCCCACCGACGTCCTCAACCGCCAGTCCTAGTTCTTTCCGTAAGTTTGAATTTGTTTATTTTGTGAATTTTTTGTATTTTTTTGACTAGTTAGGCTTTTTCTTATACAAATATTGTTCATATTTTTATATTTATGGAGCTTAATGTGATTTACAGAAGCATTTTTAGGGTTCAATTTAGTTGTTTCTTTTTCCCTTTTTCGAACGAATTTTTATACTATTGTAAAAAGAATTTGGCATTGGGGTAGAAGAATATTCTCAAATTTGGGCATAATTTTTAAAAAATACAGTATTTTGCTGAATTTTTAATAATACTCTGTAATTTTGGGTAGAATGTTTAAAACATAAACTTTGCGCAAATTATTTTTAGTTATCAACCTTTTACTTAATTTTGCAATTAATTTTAGAATTTGTTCTTTCTGATGGAGATTTTGTGAATATAATTTATTCTTTCTTTATATTTGCAATTTTTTTAGGTGATATTGATAGAGATCTATTTCAAATGTCTATTGTGACAATGTTTAATAAGTTTGCATAAGTTGGTTGTTGTGTGACTGTTAAACTTTTTCAACCTATTGTGTTGTAAATAAATTCTATGAATTTTCCGTGCTTGAAATTTGCTAAGGACCTAGCATCTCAGTAAGTTATTTTGCATAGTTCTCATATTCTCCTTATCCATATTAGTGTATAGGTTGCTATGGTTTCCTAAACTATTTATTGTTCATTAAAATATATTCTCTAAAGGCTTTCTACAAGTAATCCTTCGTTGGCTTGAAATATGTGGTTAATGCTATGTTTGAAATCTTGCATTTTGTTGACAGAGTGTCTAATTTAGAATCTTGAAGCTTTGAGTTAATAATGTGGGATTTTTATTTTTGTTGCTAATGAGGATCTTAAGTGACAATAGAGTTAGGAAACACAAGCACACCTTCTTGATTTTGGGTTAGCATTTAAGAAATTTGTTTTTCTCTTGGATGTATTTATAAGTATTCAACACATTTTTATACTGACTTTTGTGGCTTCTCCTAATGGATGTGTCTTTTTGTTGTTAAAACTGTTAAATTTCTTTGTAGAAAGCACATGAACTAAACCAAATTTATTACTCTATATTGGAATCGGAAAATCAATTTGTGTTTTAATCTACTGAATCAAACAATTTTTTTGCAATACATTTAGATTGCCAACTTTTATCTTCTATATTATCATGGTGTCTTCTTTAGATTGCCAACCAGATTTGGACTGATAAATTACAATACTATTCAGTTCATTTTCAAATTGGAATCATATGTAATTTAGATTGGAATGATATTTGATTAAAATGGAACTTCAACCTTCTTGTTCATTCCATTCCATAAGCTAAATCATTGGGAGTGTGGGATTATGCGAAAATGCATGAACGGACAGTTTATAGCAAATACATAATTACATACTGAACAACATGAAGTGAGCTCTTTGTGTAATTGTCATGACTCGTGATTACATTGCCCTCCATTTGCTTCAAATAAGTGCCACCGTTGACCTGGATGGATGGCCATTGAAGTACTTTAGGTTTAATCCATTGAGTAATGCAACACTTTATGGTACTTCTTCTGATGGACCAATCAGCTGCACTAACTTAGAGACTGGAATTTCACAAACACCGGCAAACCTTAATCCCAATGGGTGGCAGGTACATCAAGTACTAGATTGGAAACAAAAATGGGATTATTGGTTATAGATTTTTTTTCTTGTTAATATAAATTTTACTTATGGATAAAATCATTTCTACACTTTGTTTTACACACTAATTGGAAATTTCATGTAATGCATTCTTTTGGACTTCTATAGATGTGTATATCCTGTCACATCTCTCTTATAGACTAATGTTTAATGATTCTTAGATTATTTCTGTTTTGTATGTTCAGGGTGGACACTCGATCCAATAATTTTGTATGTTTAATGATTCTTAGATTATTTCCGTTTTGTTGAGGTGAAGGATCCAAACATTACTACAATCAGACCCTGTAAATAATCTACATCTACGGGATGATATTTTGGCTTATGGTAGTTCCAGGTTTGTGCAATTAATTGATTGCCATTGTTGTCCTTGTTAAATTTTTTTTTTGTGTACATGTATATTCATTGTTATTACATTCGTACCACTACAGCAACTCAGGCAGAACAATGTGCCTTGAAAACTGTTGTGTAAATAATTTGTTTTTTCTTTTTTGGTCATGTAAATAATGTTGTTGCCTTTAGTCTAGTTAGTCATATGAAAAAAACTATGAATTGAGCTCCTTATAAGTTGTTTGTGTGTTTGTTTTGGGACAACGAAGGTCGAATGTGGATACACAACACAATATACTAATGTGTGAACCTACATGTAAAATTTTCATTTTTTAGAAAATTATTTAACTTTTGAAAATATGTGAAACAGACCATCATGTCTCAGTTTCACTTTAGGTATCGCATGGGATATACAAACTTGAGATTTTCAGCAAGTTATTATTTGATTTTGTAGCAGATTTTCTTTCAAATATGGATGGAGGCAAATGATGTCGAAGTGATCATTTGCGGGATATGTGGTGGTTTTGTGTTGGGTGCTATAATTTATTCTTATATCTATATTTTTTACTATAATCACTTTTCAGCTGCTTGTTAATTATAATGCAACACTATTTTCAGATTTATCTTCATCTAGAGGCGGCGGGAAACAATCCACTAAAATCATCAAGGGGATGAAAAAAAGGATAGTTTTGTGTGAGAAAGGTATGTACTTGGTACCAATGGGAGATAATTATATTCCTAGACAATACATACTTGGTGCAACTGATGGTGATATAGATTTGATGTAGTATTTTTATATTTTGTAATGTCGTCAACTGATGGTGATATAGATTTGATGTAGCATTTTTACATTTTGTAATATTATTTTGCAATTTTTTCTCGCATCATACAGGTTTTACAATTTTGATATTGATTATTTTGTTATTACTGAAAAATAAGAATACTCTTTTTGTTGCGAAATTGTGGTTGTTACAAATACCGATACAAAAAATATGAATGTCGTTTAAAATAATTTTCTGACAACCAACTTATTGTAACAAAATTTATACTATAATAAAAGCCGTTACAAATGCATGCATATTTATTGTAACGATTCTTTTATTACGAAAAGCGTCCGCTACAAATAAATCAAAAATACATTGTTAGCGTTACAAAAATCGTTACAACAAGATTTCTCACGTGCTTTATAAGTGCGTTGACCGTCCACTTTTTGTTACGGAAAATGTTGATACAGAGACTTTTTGTAACTCGAGTATATGCACCGGTCAAAATCCGGTACAAAATCGTTACAAATAGCTTTTTATAACGAAAAATGCTCATTTGTAACGGTTTTCTAACCGCTACAAATGAGCATTTTTTTTGTAGTGAAGCTCGAGAAATTGCCTGCTGTTCGACTGAAGGATTCCAAACGACATCCAGCAGAATGACCCTGGAAGCCCCAATCAGACTTATGCCCTCAGAGCAGCACCTCGTCGACGCCAGCAAGATCTTCGAATCATTTTCTGGATCGTTGAATGCGTCGATCACTCTCTGGCGTTGCTTCTTCGGTAGCTTTCCTTCCAGCCTCAGAATTTCCTTCCCGGCGTTCCATTGGAAGGTCGCAGCCATATGATCTTTGATCAGCTCCAAGGGCGGAAGGTTTTGGCAGAAGATGAGTACTTTTCTTTCAGCGTCATACAGAGGCGGACAAATTCGAGGATAAATTTTGTTTTCACTCCTTCAAAAGGATTGAGCTTCGATGCCTCGACTGCTTGGGCACTTGCGACTTGCATTTTTGGATGAGGTAAGGATGAATAGATGCCAAAGAAAATGCATGTTCATTCGTAATTATTCTCTTTAACCGTTCCCCTTCCGATATGTCGATCAGCTTCTTTTGCAGTCCAGTCGGTTTAAGGAGGATGACAGAGTCTCTTAATCTGGGGAGATTCTTTTGCAGGATAATTCCCTTGTGCACGTGCACAAACGGTGACATGGAGACTTTAAGCTTCTCCACTGCACGATTAACTGCTTCAGGAAGCAAAGCAGACCGAGAGCTATGGGTTTTCTTATCTGAATGCAGAATCTCAGCAAATGTTCGATCCTGCATAATCTCTTCTGCCGCTGTCGGCCTTACGATCTTGACGGTGTTGAACAGCTCTGTGAAGTTTTGGAACGGCGTCCCTGACAATATGATACGCTTATCTGTCTTGACCTGAACCAGTGAAGCCCAAATCTTAGTCCTTTCGTTACGAGGAGTATGGCCTTCATCAAGAATCACTAGTCCAGGCATCTCAAGAAGTGTCGATCTCAGAAATCCCACCTCCCCTGCATTTGCTTCCTTGCCCTTCTGCGCCGTTAGCTTCTCAAACAGCTTGTAGCTAATCCCCAAAAGGCCTCCCCCTCTCTTCCATGAATATATTTTTACCATTCGGATTGCCTCTGTATCCCAACATCTGATCTTTGTCCCTTGAAAGAGATGGTCAGCAGCCGCCCTCTCATCGCCGGTGAATGCCGGATTGTTCAGGTTGTGGAAATGAAACCCGGCATTCCACCTTCTGAACTCGGCTTCCCAGGTACCAAGTATTGTGGCTGGGACGATGATCATCGGCAGGCAGTTCGGAAACATCTTTAAATATGTCTCGAGGAACACAAGCGTCAGGCGTGTCTTTCCGGTCCCTGGTGCATGAGAAATGATGCATCCGCCCACTCCAGGTAGATTTGAGTTCTTTAAGTCAGCAATATCAGTACTGCCTGCCAAGTTCCTCCAGAGGAACTCAAATCCTTCTCGTTGGTGTTCGTATAGAGTTTCTCTAACACCAGCCTTGATGCCCCAAACCGAGCCTCTAGTCCGGCAGCTTACTTCAGCTGCATGCGCTACTGGGAGAGTAATGGCGCCGAGATCCAGACCCTTCCCTTTCTCCTGCTTCTTCTTCTTTCCCGGCGCACGATGAGTTTTGGTCGCCTGCAAAAGGAAGAAAAAGAAGCTGTATAAACGGGGGTAGCTGTACAAATTTTAAATCAACCTAAAATCGCACTGGCCTACTTTCACATAACAATATTAGTGCAGAATTAGGGGGAATAGATAACTTAAGAAAGAAATATATACTTACCCACGAGGGAATTACATCCCTCGGCTGAATCGCTACATGTTGACAGTAGATACAATAAAGTCCTTGATCATCTGCTAATGTCAATTCATGAAGCCCTCGAGCACATCTGCGCTCTTGGGTGTCTTCCTCCTCATCCACTAGAACCACCTGCAAGTCATGAACAGATTGTTAGTTATTATATCGCTTTCTGAATATTAATAATAAAAATAGTGGTGAATTAGTTCTCAATCCGTGTCGAATCTGTTCTTGTCTATTGTTTGAATATATATATAGATATTAATATGCACAAGTGTTGAATTTGATTGACTTACCTCATGGCTGGTAGTTGTTCCCATCTCCTCCACAGCCAAGTCAAAGTTCATGTCATCGAACAAGTCCTCCATTTCCTTGGCTACCTCAGCTTCTCGCTGTTCCTCTTCAGTCAGGGGCACGACATCCTCTTCAAACCTGAACTTCTTCGGAAGAGCAGGGTAGTCTTCACCTTCACCGGTATGCATTGTCCCAGACTGTGGTCGGAAAATGGATTCTTCTAGAAACTTGGATATGTCGAATCGTTTTGGCTTCATCTTCTTCGCTTTGGCCCCCGTCATGAACTTCGTCATCTCCTCAAGCCAATAGGGCATGTCATCTCCATTACGGCTGTTCCTGCTAGTCCGCGGAGCTTTGCCACCCTATGCTTTTGACACTGAGACTGCACCCCCCTGCTCCAATCTGTGTTCTTCGACCTCACAGATTTCTGACAGCCTCCTCTGCTTTGTTTTCCTCTGAGGAGAGTTCACTGCAGCCTTCCGTTTTGGAGTTCCCACACAGGCACGCTGTCCTCTGGAGTGTCGACTTTTTTACCATTGTTCACTTTTTGCCTCTTCCTCGGAGTGAAGTCTTCATCGGAAGAAAGTTCACACATCTCACCCACAACGTAAATTGACGACAGGTGTGTATTGATTCTCCTTGTTGATCTAACCTGACGTCCAATGCCATCATCAGCAATGCCTACTTCTTCAGTGGAATCCATCGAATTGGAGGGCCTATCGGCACTGCTGCTGCTGATAGTATCCCCTGAATCGCCCTCCAAATTGTCTATTTCATGGCGTTCTTCAAGGGGAACTATCGTATTGGAGTGGCTGTCGGCATTGTCCTCGTTGGAGAGGCAGTCTAGTTCACAGACTGTACACTCCTCGCCAAAAATTCGAGCGCAAGTCTGAGCTCGACTCCTCAAATGCTCCAAAATTTCTTCCAACTCTTCTTTAGAAGGCTGCATTTTGCACTTTCCCATCCCTGAAAAAAGAAATGCAAATATTAGACTGCCTTATTTTCAAATGTTAGAATTTTCTAAAGTCAGCCATTACCTTCTAAATCATCCATCTCTTCAAAACTATCGAAACAAGCTTTGTGCACCTACAAAAGCAAAAGGCAATTTTTGGTAAGAAGATGATTGTAGTTCTTGAAATTGAAAAGTATAGCTTCAAGATCGATATACTTACCCACGAGCTCAAAACCTGGTCTGCATCAAGCTCCACATGACCACAGAACTTACAAGTCAATCCTTGGCAACCCATATACGACAGGTTATGGTTCCCCTCAGTGCATCCATCAAACTGCAAACCATAGAAATTCAATTTGAGTATCGAAGATTAGGAGTGCATATCTAGTGAAGATATTGTTCACGGGAGTCATTCAATAGGGTTTAGGGTTTGGCAAATATTAAAACATCACCATGTCCAAATAAATGCTCGATCGTTGCAGAGATCAATATCTTCATCGTGCATTCTCAGTGTTGATTCGGAGCTCATAATTTCATCTGAGTGATGGTTGCATAAATATACTTAGTAATAATGATGTAATGAAACTTAAGCTAGAGGGGGGGGGGAGGGGGTAAATATTAAAACATCACCATGTCTAAATAGATGCTCGATCGTTGCAGATATCTTATTTTGTAATTTTTCAGTGATCACAATAACTCCATTGTGCATTCTCATTGTTGATTCGGAGCTGATTATGTCATCTGATTGATGGTTGCATGAATATACTTAGTAATAATGATGAATGAAACTTAAGCTAACACTTTCAAAATGTTAACACCTACCTCTACTCAGGGAATGCGATTGAGATCTTCTCCTCCTCTGTAGTTTATCCGTGCCATTATAAGAAGTAGATGATTCACTTTGACCATCATTTACCGATGATGCTCTTCCCTCTCCTTGGTAATTCACTGATTGACAATTATCCTATATAATAAAGTAAAGATGGTTAAATATAATTCAATTCCTCAAAACAAAATGGCGGGCGCTACAACACACCGCAGCACACGGTGTTACTACTGGCAGCACACAATCTGCATTTATATAATACAAATACAATACATTAACTAACAGCACATGCTATCGTTTTATACAGTGCAATCAATACTTGATTTTAGCACACCACGTACTGTTATACAACACACTTGTATTATGAACAAACAGCACAAATAAAACACATAAACTGACAGCACATCTTATACAACACAAATACTAATTGATTTCAATTGTGTATAATAAGACTTTGTGTTGTTTCTATGTATTACGGGTGCTGACATGGTGCTGATTTTTCCAATTCAGCATCCTAACTGTTCCCAAACAAAATACCAATAATCTTACTAAAAGTCATATATGTTACCATGATTCATGATCAATATAAAGGTAACAAGAAATTCATAATCCTCGAGGAACTCAAAAATATTAAATAAACATCTCAATCTTCCCTTTAGACCCATTCAAGTCATGTAGAAAGTTAACAACGTGATAATGCA